CCTGAGGACTCATGAATAGGTTAATACTAGGGGGGCCCTGGTAATAGCTATTACCTTATTTGAGGTAATAGGCTATTACTAGGAATATTATTCCCAGTAATAGAAAAGGTTACCAAACACAGAAATAGGCCTATTACTGTGAATGTTATGTCATTCTCAGCCTATTCTGTGAACCAAACGGGCCATACGAGTATAGCTCAATTGGTTAACTAATCTAAAATAAATTTATAAATTTTTCTTTGTTTTTTTTTTTTGCAAAACAAGTTTTTCTTTGTTAGTAGCTGCAACGTACATGCTAATTGAGGCACACCATGCAATTTACGTGCTTATAAATGGCAAAACAAATAATGTAAAATCGTAGTAATTATGCAATTCAATATTTGTTGTGGAATGGAATTAATTAATACGGAGTATAATTGTTCTTTCAAGGAAAATATTGAAAATTATTGAGGGTATGCATTCTTTATTGATTAGACACGAAAAAAAAAATAGGAAACAAAATCAATTATTGAAACTTTACATGTCAATCATTTGATCTGAAAAAAAAAAAAAAAAAACTTGCTTATTGCTACTAATTAAAGGAGTAAAATGACAGCTAACAACACTAGAACATGGAAATGCCTCTCAAATATGAAGTTTCCAATCCATGTCTATCAATGCCAATAAAAGAACTTATCAATTTCGGTAAAAGTTGAAGTTACGATAAAAGTTAAAATGTTTCTTTAAATTGTTTTTAGACAACTTCTTTTGATAAATAATTATATATTCAAGAGAAATGCCATTCCAAGTAATTTTTGTGTTATAGATAACAGCAATAGAGTGTAAGGTCGTAAGAAATTAATAACCCATAATTATATTGTGCAACCGTGAACGTCGTTTTGATTAAAACGTTCGTCTCACTTAAAAAAAAAATCAATTTCGATTCCCGACAACAGCACTTATGTTGTGCATAATTTGAACTATATATCCAGAATGAATGAACTAAATATCCAGAATGAATAAACTAAATATCCAGTAAATATATATATATATATACAAATTATGCACAACATAAATGCTGTTGACGAGAATCGAAACTAATTTTTTTTAAGTGGGACACACATTTTTAATCAAAACAACTTCGTTTTTGCAACTGTGTGCACCATGCATAGTGGCACACGGTTGCACATCATAGCGATTGCCATCATTTTTAGAAAAGTTGATGGCTCCATCAGAAATGGGCTTTTCATGTAAAGAAGACCAATGCTATCAATATATATTCATGTGGGCTTCAAGGCTATTGTAAGGAGAGCCGAATATGACATGAATATGATCCAAATGAGAAGGTAACTACGTAAGGTACTATTGGCCATGGACCAGGGTCAACATAATAGCAAATTATGGTCCACACAATGTTATGTGGATCATAATAAAAAGTATATTTTTAATATATTAAATGTACATTATTTTTGTACTGAATGTACATTATACGATATTATGTAAACTCAGAACAAAAATAATGTACATCCCCTGAATACAATGTACATTATTTTTGTACCGAATGTACATTATTTTACAGTAGACAAAACATGGTCCACACAATAATGATTCCAACATAATATTATGAATACTGAATCAAAATGATGAGGTACAAAATTCAAACTAATAAGGTACATAATTTTATAACATAAAATACAAAAAAATTACAACACATACACATATTAAATATTTATTTATTTTTAAAATATGATATAGGTATATAATTTGTATTTATAGACACATAATTTCATAACCCAAAACACAGAAATCCATAATATAAGACATAATTACTAATTTGTTTCAAGTACAAAATTTAAACCCTTAAAATACATAATTTCGTACAAAAAAAAAAAAAAAAAAAAAAAAGAACTCAACATAAAATACATACACATGCACCAAAGTCTACAATGCATTGTGAACCCCTAGTTCATGGTATAAGGATTGGTACTATTGATAGAAATTAAGCATTTATTTGGGATATAATTTATTTATTTTTAAAAGCATGAATGAGCCAAATACTAAAAAGTGAAAAATATTTTTAAAATGAGTTAATTCCATTTTAAATTCTAGATTTATAGATGACAATCAATTTTTAGTCTTTTTTGTTTTTGTTTTTGTTTTTTTTTTAAAAGATTCATATTTAGTCCTAGTATTATTGTGGCATGACCATTTTTTGTTCTCAATAAACAAAACTGTTTAAATTTCGTAAAATACAAGCGTATTTAACTATTCAATTATGAATGTTTTTTTTTTCAAAAAAATAAAATAAAATATGGCGGGTCAATCCACTTTATACGGAAAAGATCAAAATGTCTTTGTATTTAATGACATTTCAACGATTTTGTTGGCGGAGGACAAAAAATAGTCATGCCATAATAATATTAGGACCAAATGAGAATATTATGAAAAAGGACTAAAAGTGAACTGTCAACTATAAATTTAGGACAAAAAATAGAATTAACTGGTTTAAAATCAAGTGCATAAAAACTCATTTTCAAAAAGTCATAAACTGGTGCCATACAATGTTGGTACCGTTGGTAGGAAAAACACAAATAATAATAAAAAATAAGATTATTATTTTTCTGGAAAGAAGGGAAGAAAAAGTTGAAGAAATTTGGCTAGTGTTTGGTATTGGGTTTTTGCAAGAGTCGAGTGAGCACTCTTTCCTTAAAACCTTATTTGCCACCTCCCAAATATGCTAGGAGCGTTGTGGCCTAGGCTTCCCAGGATAAAACTTGCTATGATTCAGTGTTTGAGCATTCAAACAAAGAATCCGGCGAGCAAGACGTGGTTATGAACACAGTATGGCTAAGAAAAGGAGTAGAAGCAGAATTTTGAGGCTGGAAAAACAATGTTTCGTGCAGTGTTCTTGCTGTTCTCCCTGTGTGTAAAACTCTACTGCCTCTACCCTCTCTTATATAGGGTTGAAGGAGCCAATAGCCTTTATTATGGCAATTAAAAATGACATTAAAGCTGGAGCCAATAGCCTTTATTATGGCAATTAAAAATGACATTAAAGCTGCCTTCCAACTGCAGGCCGGCCACTACCTGGGTAGACAATTAATTCCGTAACAGATGAATTCAATCCCCCCAACAGTTTCGGGTTCCAGACCGTTAGCGTACAGGATTCGGGATTCGGTCTCAACTTTCGACCTCATCCAGTTTCGGCCCTTGCACCTCTCGTGCTCTCGGTTCGGTTCGGGTTCCAGACCGTTAGCGTACAGGATTCGGTCTCAACTTTCGACCTCATCCAGTTTCGGCCCTTGCACCTCTCGTGCTCTCGGTTCGGTTCTGGCACACGAGCTCGGACTCTTGAATCAAGCCTTTTCAATCTCTGCTAGTTGGAATTTGATTTGCACCCCCCGCGCGAGAAAGCCTCTATGCTATACAATTCTACAAACTTCAAAAGAGCTCTTGTATATAAGGGGGGAAAATCTTCATTCCAAAGCAATGTGGGACAAAAGCCACTTTTTCCCTTCATTTTCCAACTCAAATGGGTCTACTTTGAGAATCAATATCTCATTCACCCATTATCCGTTTTGAACGTACAATATATCGATCTCTTCGTCTCACTACGAAGAATCCGAATCCACTTTGACCCGACCCAAATCGAAAGTGGACCCCACTGATAATTGTACCACAAAATAGCCACTTAACATGCCATTTTAAGCTATTTTTTCCAACATACAATCACAAGATCTTAACAATAGTTTAGCCTATGATTATTGGGTTTGTTTAGTGTTGGGTTCTAGACACATTGGTGTTAGAGATTAATGATTTAGGCTAATTAAGTATATGATTGACAACTTTGTTGGGTAATAATGGTTGTCTTTTGTATATTAAAATTCAGAAATCAATTTACAAATTGTCAGAATTTTATTGCATTTATAAAACATTGCATGTATATATATAGAATGGTAAAGTTCACTAAGAGATAATTTAATTTCATAGCAACTGGGATTATTGAGCTCTAACTCGAAAGCATATACTCTGACATTCAGTATATATGAAACAACAGAAAATGGTTGTATGAGTTTGTCTCTTTCAGTAGTCCAAGCTCTCAAAAACAATAATAACAGTGTAGGCATAATGCATATATATATATATATATATATATATATATATATATATAGATGGATGGTTTATGATTCCATGCAGCTGTAAGTCACTTCACCTTTTGGGGGACCATTCCATGTATAGAAATGCAACAAACCCTAGGACCAAACTCATATTTGCTTCATGTTTCCTTTGTGAGTAAAGCGCTCATCACAAAAACCTGAATTGAAGAAGAGAATCGATGACGACGACGTTTTACCATGCTTTTCTTGTTTTTCACTACTGCACCACACTGGAGTTGAAAGCTGTGGGGAATCTTTACCCAAATATCACTCTTCCTAACTACAAAAAAAGGTAAAAAACAACACACACTTCTCAACCACCTAATCTATTTATACACACCACTTACACAACTCAATCTTTATGGAATTTCTTCTTCTTCTTCATTATATACAAAATTACAAACCCAACCTCGTGAACAAACAGGCAGAACCCCACAGCCCGGTCTGACAAGATTGTGGAGTGGTAAATTACACAGAACGCGAAGGAGGGCAGGACCCCACACCCCGGTCTGATAAGATTGTGGAGTGGTAAATTATAATGTGGAGTGATAAATCACACAGAACGCGAACGAGGGCAGGACCCCACACTCGATCTGACAAGATTGTGGGGTGGCAGATTACAATGTGGAGTGATAAATCACACAGAACATGAAGGAGGGCGAAATCCCTCGCCCCCATGCTCCGGCCTGACACGATTGTGGAGTGGTAAAATAAATCACGAAGTGGAGTGATAAATCATGGTGACTTAGCAATCTCTCAAGTGAAATTTACGTCAAACACAAAATATCTTCGTTATCAGTACTTTTTGCTGGTATTACGGGCGTTGTAAGATGAAAAATGGGTGCATAAAAAATAGATTGGGAGTTGATGAAGAATGATATTACCATTATATGGAACTGTTTCACAAGAGAAAAAATAGAAAGAAAAAAAACATAATATTATTCAAACTATAAGAACTAACAGATAATCCTATTCTAATACTTTACAAGAAGTTGCCTGATCTGCAGGGACATCATTCACATGCATTATGCATTTGTTGTTCTGTACAACCATATATTATAAATGCTAAGTTTTTGACAACATTAATTACATCATCAAGCTAAGCTGGTGTAATTTCCCAGACATTACAAGAAATTAAAATAAAAAACATTATCCCAAAACTGAGAATCGAAATTCATGTGACAGAAGTGAGGCCAACCAAGTACTTGTGCCAAAAATCAGATCTTTGTCTCTGATCTGATGTTTTAAGATATATGTAACAGGAATCTGCTATCTGCAAATAGGACAACATAATCCAGCTATTTCATTAAATATATGCATGTATTGTACTGTTAGCTAGAGAGAAACTTGGATCCATTCATATATCCACAACCAAAACTTCATCTCATTCATCGATACAATCCATGAAGGTTACCACTCATCCTCAGGTAAAAACAAGAACCCATCACATGCCAACTTGGGACAACTAATATATATGAATAGCACAAGAATATATACGGAGTAATATATATATTATTAGGATCAAACGCTTATCACTATGCTAAAAGCAAAGCTCTAACTAGTAGCAAAGACGCAATTTTATTTCTTTATATTCGTGTAACACTGTAGCGGTCAGCACCACGTTTCGATGGCAGGAGCCACCCAACAACATACATACATATATATATATATATATATATATATATATATATATATATATATATATATATATATATATATATATGTATGTAATAATAGTAGAAAACATCACAAGATTCATGGGTTGTTTGTCATTAACATTATTATGTTGTTTGTCATTTAGTATCATGCAATCTAATCCAGTTGGGTGTAGGAGACAAAGCCATTAAGCCCAACAGATACAAGGAAGAAAAAGTGTGATCTGATAAGAATTTGTCATGCCAAGGCCAACTGATATAGAAAACTGTGAGCTCCCTTTGTCTCTTTCTTTTGCCCATTTCAGACTATGAAATTGATGAAAATTTTGGATAAATTAAGATTAATGAAATGATTATTAATAAGAAATCTAACAATTAAAGGGAAAATAAGATCAAGGAGGAAATTTTGAACACCAGAAATGAACAATAACACTTTCCTCTTTGGGGTGTCATGTACATAGAATCTGCTCCACTTTTCAAAGAGCATACAAAATATATTAGCATAAAACTATGTAAACAAATCTGGGCTTTTCTCAGAATTTGTTATGGCTCACCAGTCACCAAAAACATTCTAGGATTCTTCAAATCATGCACAGAATAACAAAAAACATCAAAACACATACAAATTATGATTTCTAAACATCTAAAGAATCAGATCTACCCTTCTCCCACCAACACACATACAAAACCCTAATTGTTTCCATCAATTCAATCCACACAATTGCAGAAGAACAATAGAGGGCTATAGAATTCATGAAAAACCGAGATCTTGATTATAAAGAAAGTAAAGGAAAAAGCAAAAAAAAAACATTACCCTTTTCATGGTTGGGAACAAAATTATCTAGGCAAGTAGGGTTTGTGAGAAATTAAGGTTTTTTCGTGCAACCAACCAACAGGTGAAGCTGCCACATGATCTGATCTTTCCTCAACCCAAAAAAGGAGGCAAGTTTAGATCATGCTGGCAGCTTCAACTGCTAGAGGTGCACGGCAAAATTACAAGCATGCCCTTGTAATTCCATACTAGCAAAAAAAAAAACCTAATCTATAAAGTATAAACTGAACTGATAGAGAGAGGCTTGCCTAGAGAAGTGAGAGCAAAATGGGATTTAAATAGGGGTGTGAAGTGGAGGGATTAAACAGGAATTTTAATAAAATAAGTGTTTTTTAAAATTAAATTTTAGAATTTTTGTTGGATAATAATAAAGATAGACAATTGGTGAAGGGGAAAAAACATTGTATAAGAGAATCAAATTTTGTTTGGGGGGGGTGTGGGTGGGGGGGGGGGAGGGTGGTCCCTAGTAATGCAATTGAATATTGTCATGCCAAGTCTACCACCATGCAGATTTCAGACTGGTTGATGAAAATTTCTATATTTTGTAAGAGCATTTATTCACTTTTAAGGTTGGGAGGTAGGGGACCCTTCCTTACATGCACCTCTCAAAATTTTTATAATTCTATAAACGAAATTTATTTGGATCCTACACTTTTATCGACCACCGTATAATGTGTACTGTTACATAAATTATTATAAATTCTTTATTTTTTCTTCACATGGATGATGACAGTAATTATAATATAAGTAAGATTCGTTTGCTAGACGCGTGATAAAGCAACTACCCTAATCCCGGTCCCTACTCTATATGAAACTTTGCATTGATTTAAAAACTTTTTTTAATAACCTTATTATATTTTGCATGAATGGTACGAGATCTGAGGTGCATCATGCATAACATGTTGCACAACTTATTGTTAATGCGTGTATATATACACACTTACATACATGTCTACGCGCACATGCATGTTTACTTTCATGCGTGGTTTGGGATTATTAGACCGGAGCGGAGTTTAACGGTGTATATATCATCATATTGGATAGTAACTATGAATTTCATTCGTCACCTTAAAAAAGGTTAAATAAATAAATTAATTAGTGATTATAAATATATACAAAATATGCGTTCATTTTACTTAAATTAAAATTGTAGAATCTATATATTTCTTTGCTCATTATTGTCAATGTCATTTAATTTGCTCTCAATTAAGATTAATTGGCAGATTGCCATTTGTTGGATAATTCATATGTGAGAGATAGAGATCGACAAACCAGAAAATGACTTGTGTTGGTGCATGCATAGGAACACAATAATGTAAATATAATAATATAAATAGTTATAATTCCTTCTTGAAATCCTCCATTTTATTCTAGGAAAACATATATTATAGTATAGGCAGCTAGAAGAAAATGTGGTTTCCTTTTATTTGGTTGTGTTGCATCATCATACGTGAGTGTATGTATATATAAATATTAAATATATATAGGTATAGCTAGGGTTGGTGCGGATACTATAATAAATGTGGGCATATGCTAAATGCTATTGTCACTAAGTTATGAATGGAATAATTGTAGATTAAAGATGATTAATTAAGATCTTCCTATACTTTAATTTGGAGATCTATATATCCTCCCTTTAATTCTATGGAATTTAGTCCATTAATTGGATGTTAAATTCCTCATAGTTTCACGTTTTCCATAATTAATTAAAAATATATGTATGTTTTTAATTTCCATATGATATGCTACTTTTTTTGGTATATATTTCACAATTAAATAAGTATATAGTACATTACCATTAATGAAATACGGCGTAATACATAACATGATAACGCTTAGGTTGCTCGTCTTATGACCATAGCAGGCAATTAACAAAGGACTATAATGAAGTGAACCAACCTAAGTTACTCATATATAGCTGACCGACGTAAATTAAGAAGGCCAATAGACAATTTCAAAATGAACTGAATGCCTAAATATGAAACCTTGGGGTTACCAAGTCAACTGTCCAATCAATTTGGCTGGGAGTTTCCCCACCTTCAAATTCATTAACCACATCAATATTATTGGTCAAAAAACTATTGGTTTGTAGGGAATTTTAATCCAAAAAGTATTCCCAATAAATCCAGCCACAGTAACAACACCGAAAATTCAAGGCTTATGTCTCACACAATTTTCTTAAAATCGATTCGTTTTCCTTGGTGGTGCTATGAGTATTGAAGTGTTGATTTCTCATGATACAATGGATTACAATGAAAATATTTGAGCAAAGATGAACACTTTGAATTTTGAGGAAGTCTTGGCAGAATTTTAGAGCCAGTTGAGTGAGTTCATAAAATTAGTTTTTATGAGTGTAAAAAAGTTGGTCCAACACAAGGTATTTATAGTGCATTAAAAATTCATTGGCATTCAAAATTGAATTTAAAATTCAAATCGTAACTTCCACTGACAGACTAATTAGAACAATATTATGATCTTACAAAATTAATTCTCATATAAATTAAAATTAATCATAATTAGTTTCTAAACTGAACTAGAATTAAACAACATTTCTAGTATGTTATATGTGTGTGTTAATTAGAATCAAACGATTACCTTTGTATAAAAAATTATAGCCAGTAGAAAAAAAAAAAAAAAAAAAAAAACGTAACTTGCATAGAAATGTGACACTGCTAGTTGCTACGCAAGTATAAAAGAATAAAGTTGTGATTTTATTACTAGTTATAACTTTTGTGTTAGGAATTACTTGTAATAGATTTTGATGATGTAAAGTGAATTGTATAAGTGTTTTAGACCTCAGCTCTCTCAAATCTATGTAATTTTAGATAAACTTCAAAATCAATTTGACTGGCTGGAAGGAAGCATCTAGAAGAAAAGCTAGTTATTAGAAGGAAGTAACTGGAAGAAAGACTTCGGAAGAAGATCTCCGGAAGGAAGCTAAGGGGAGCAAACCAAAAGATATTGGAGCATGATCTTCATGGATGTCAAAATTAAAGGGCATTCATTGCTATATTCCAAGCATGTAGGTAATTCATTGAAGAACGTTTAAAGAAGATCATCATCGGAAGAAGTTCGTTCAAAAAATGACAAAAAGAGCCGATGAACAATTGTAACTTGTTTGACACCTAAGAGTTTTGTATGGAGAAGACAAATTGGTGATAAGTAGGAACAATTTTTTTTATTTTTTATTTATATACCTTTGGAGCACTTATACACAGACAGGGTAACACGTATTACCCTATGGATATCCGACCAGCTGCACAAGTTAAGGGTATGGAAGCAGATTTTATCCTCCCAAATACTCTGTCAAGCCGGTGTGTGGGGAGCCCTTAGGGTTGGGGTTCAGCCATTTGAAAGAATGGAAGCAGATTTTAGGGGATTATGGCAGGTTTTGGATGACTACCATATGTTGAGTGACAACTGGCATATTCAAATTTCAAGTTGACGTTCACCCCTCCTCATCTATAAATTAAAAGGAGGGCCCCAAGCCTAGACGTTATCAAATATCAAGTGCAATTGCTCAAGCATTCAAGCTACATTTAGACTTCAAGGCTGAAAGGAAATCATATCAATTTCTAAAGTCTAGCACTCATCAACTTACAATCATCTTCTACCGAAAAGTGTTGTGCGATCAACGTAGCAAGGTGACTTGGTGGACGACTCTTGGCTAGCTCTAATCAGATAGTGAACGATAAGGCAACTTAGTGTGTGACCCTTGTCTCAAGGACTATTCAGAAGAAATTGAGCCTTCTATCACTTTGTATTTGTAACAATACTTAATGGAACCTTATTGGAATTAAGGAGAAGATCGAGTGGAGTAAGAAAGTTATTCCAAACCATTACAAAAATTTCTTGTGTTCTCTTTTCATTGTTTATTATTTTAATAGCAAACTAGCCCCATATATACTTGCCTTGGGAAGTTTGTGGATGAAGTTGAAGATGAACTTTTTTGGCCTTCTAGTTGATTATCCCACATTTTGATTGCAGATTTAGGATAGTAAAAACCTAATTTGAAGAAATATGTGCGCAGATTGCTAAAAGGAATCACATACAGATTACTTTAAATTGGAGTGCAAAATCTAAATTTACAGTTTTACGCTTCATTTTAACACAAATTTAACGCCAAAGCTAACGAATGACTATTTTGGCTTAAAATTCAGAAGTCGGAGGACCACTTTGAGAAAATTAAAAGTCAAGGGACCAATTTGAGAAAATGTCATAGTCGGAGGTCAATTTTTAGAATTAACTCTTTTTCATAAAATTAAGTTACTATTAGTATACAAAATTTATATTTTTAGAAACTACACTAAAAATACTATTAAACACAAAAAAAAAAATTAAATTTAAAAATAAGTAAAAATACTAAAAAAAAATAAACAAAGAAGAAAAAATTAATTTGACCAATAAATAGTAATAACTAAGATATATAAAATGAGACGGAGAGAGTAATATATATATATATATATATATATATATATATATATATATATATATATATATATATGCTATATAGCGTAAAACTAAAGCTTGCCTTAATTTCCCTAAAATATTTATAAGTAATGATATCAACGGTTTAAAAAAAAAAATGCCTGCAAGGAATAACCACCCCTCCCCCACCCCCAACCCCAACCCCGGCAGGAAAAGAAATAAAAGTATAATTTAAATAATTGAAGTAGGCCACCCAAATCTACTCCATCACATCCTGTCCTATATATATGTGCATAATACATTTTTGCTACCGTGCCCTAGCATGCATGTGGAAATGATACAAGATTTTAGGGTTACTATTTATTTTTTTTTAAAAAAAAATTATTCATTTAATTAATGCCGCTCTCAAAAAAGAAAAGAGTCAAAGATAATTTTGACTCCTTATAACCCAACATGAGAGGCAAAGCAGTAAAGGGTTAACTACGGATTAATTCGGATTTAGTTTAAGTCGATCACGTCAGTTGAGTTTAATTCTAACTCGTAAAAGGTCTAATTTATGATTCTTTGATATAGTACACTTTTAAGACATTACAATTGCATTAGCAATACACTTACTAATTGCTATGACAACTGATGTGTTAAAACTCCAGATTACTTTTAACATTTTGATCAATTGCTAGCAATACACTTACTAATTGTTATGACTAATGGGTTAATTCGATGAAATTTAATTAATTAAACTTGAGACTAAAGTCTTTTTTTTTTTTTTAATACAATGGAGAAGAAAAGACAAGAAATTAAAGACTAGAGAAACAAGATCACACAACCCTAACAATATTCGAGGCCAACAGGCTACGAATTTCATCCAAATTAGAAGTCGTTATAGAACTCATAAGTTGCTACATGTGTGTGTGTGTGTGTGTATATATATATATATATATATATATATATATATATATATATATAAGTGACAAAAAAAAAACCTGTATTCAGTATCTGAAAGTGTACATTGAGTAAACTGCACTTCTGTGTAATACTCTTCAAACGACACCAGAGAAATCAACTGATACGGTACTCAAGCCAAGACCCTAACTCCACCACAAAAGCTAGCTCATGAGTGGAGTTAGGGTCTTGGCTTGACTACCGTATCATTGGTGCTCTTGTTGAGAGGCCGGAGTGTCGTGGGATCGTATCATTACCCACCCCTTGAAGCCAAGACCCTAACTCCACCACAAAAGCTAGCTCATGAGTGGAGTTAGGGTCTTGGCTTGAGTACCGTATCATTGGTGCTCTTGTTGAGAAGCCGACGTCCGCCGCGGCTTACTCTAGACTACGGCTCACACTCCGGACTCAGGTAGCCCTTCTCCTTTGGATGGCTTCACTCCGGACCTTATCAAGCACCAGGTAGCCCTTTTCTAGGTCGTCCCCTCCGCTAGGCCGACACCGGATGAGTGGAAGGCTTCACTCTGGACTCTTCTCGGTTGCCTTTGAACCTTATCAAGCACCGGGTAGCCCTCTTCCAGGTAGCCCTTTCCCACCACTGAAAGTGTACATTGAGTAAACTGCACTTCTGTGTAATACTCTTCAAACGACACCAGAGAAATCAACTGATACGGTACTCAAGCCAAGACCCTAACTCCACCACAAAAGCTAGCTCATGAGTGGGGTCTTGGCTTGAGTACCGTATCATTGGTGCTCTTGTTGAGAGGCCGGAGTGTGGTGGGATCGTATCATTACCCATCCCTTGAAGCCAAGACCCTAACTCCACCACAAAAGCTAGCTCATGAGTGGAGTTAGGGTCTTGGCTTGAGTACCGTATCATTGGTGCTCTTGTTGAGAAACCGACGTCCGCGGCGGCTTACTCTAGACGGCTCACACTCCGGACCTTATCAAGCACCAGGTAGCCCTTTTCTAGGTCGCCCCCTCCGCTAGGCCGGCTTCACTCTGGACTCTTCTCGGTTCCCTTTGAACCTTATCAAGCACCGGGTAGCCCTTTTATAGGTCGCCCCCTCCGCTAGGCCGGCTTCACTCTGGACTCTTCTCGGTTCCCTTTGAACCTTATCAAGCACCGGGTAGCCCTTTTCTAGGTCGCCCCCTCCACTAGGCCGGCTTCACTCTGGACTCTTCTCGGTTCCCTTTGAACCTTATCAAGCACCGGGTAGCCCTTTCCCACCACACTCCGGCCTCTCAACAAGAGCCCCAAATGATACGGTACTCAAGCCAAGACCCTAACTCCACCACAAAAGCTAGCTCATGAGTGGAGGTTTGGCCCCAATTTAAGTACCACTCCATAATATCTTGTGGAGCCGATGTGGGATCGTATCATCAACCCTATTAGAAATTATTATTATTGCACTCATCATGAGCTGCTATATATATATATATACAGTTTTACTGCTAGAAATTATTGTAAAATAATATAAAAACAGCTGAACTATTTACAGTTGGTAATTAAAATGGAGGACCAAATTAGCACTTTAATTTCAGGCTTTCAGCATAGCAACAAACTGGTCCCTTCTTTTTGTTTTATCTTATGTAGTCTTCCTCTTCCATATATTAAACTCCATCCCTCTGCCAGTAACACTCTGGCAATCACTGAAACCAGATATATATATATATATATATATATATATATATATATTTTTCAAATAGTTGAAACGATAATAATTATAATGGTATAATTATACAATATTAATACGGAGTATCTATTATATAAAAATATCTTTAATAACTAATTATATCCAGTTACATACTCAAACTACTAATCAAGAAAATTAAAACACTAATGAATATATGGGTACTATACTTAACATTTACTTTATGTTGGATTTGAATCCATGATTAAAAGTTAGATCGAGTTTATTATTATTGAAAAACTATGACAATTATGACATATTAATGTAACAAATTTGAGTGCATTATTCTTAGATTCTGTGCTATCAATTATCAACAAATGCACTCTCAAACTTGTGCACATATTATCAAGTTTGTAATAATTATGAATATATTATTGTATGTGTTTTTTCCTTTTCTCTCGATTTTTTTAACCGTTGATGATTAACTCAAATGGACGGATGAGATTATTTCACTTTTTTTTTTTACAAGAAGATGTTGTAAGGCGGAGGCTCGGAGGAAGAGTCTAAAAAGAAAAAAAAAAATCCACAAATGATAGAAAAAAGATTATTCTTTTTTTTTTTTTCTAATTTCAGCATTATTACAATATGGAACTATTCTTCAAGGCAAACAAACAACATGCAATATATAACTTAATATGGAACTATTGTTCTAAGTAGCAAGCTAGCTAGACAAACAAACAACATGCAATATTTAACTTGAAACCTCTTTTAATCACTTGCTGTCAACCTCATAAACAAACTCAATTTCTCCCTAAGCAAAATAAAAATTCCCTTAGTTATTAAGCTAAAACTTAAGTCATGTAAACTATAAAAGCTTAATTGGTCTAACACCCACCTCCCCCCCCCCAAACCTCCCTTCTATAACGCTGGCATGGGTGGGTGGGACCGGGTTGTGGTGGAGAGGGGGAGGGGGAGGACGGATGGATCTCAGTGCTATCAATTCAAGCACGTTTAACTATAAAGTCTTTTAGTTATATGATTGTCATATCCTACTTAAAATCAATTGGTGATAAGTAAATGGACACGCTCATTTAACATCCCTCTATGGTAAGTTACAATGCCGGCCAATCCTGCCAATGCCCAACAAGGACTTTTAATTTCATTTTGAAAGATTGAATCTACCTGAGGACAACAATATATAGAAGACTGTGCGGACAAATAATGTGCATACGACAAATTAGTATCATGCACACAATTTGATAAACAATGACACACTAAGCATACATTTAAACATTGGATTCGAACTTAGGCTCTATTAATTAATAAACCTATGCACACGACATACCAACTATGGCACACGACTACACCTGTCCACATAGTACTTTATAATATAGTTGTCCTCATTTGAACTCAACACTCTCTCTCTCTCTATATATATATATGAATTGAAACTGGTAATCTATCCGAGCTGCTAAGCACTAGATTAGATCCAAGAAAAGGAGAATTATATATAGTGGGGGTATGTTTTTTATGTCACCTATGAAACCTAGCTAGCATGCACTATCTATGACCTATATATGTATATATAGGTAGCTAGGTATCTACCCAGCTAAGTATTAGCTAGACAACAAACGAAAGAACATGATCTGAGGAGTGAAGGCATGCAGGAGTAGTGGTCCTAGAAAGCATGCTAAGCTAGGTGATAACATGGAGGATGGCTGGCTGGACTGATATCTTTAATTTTAAGCAAATAAGAAGAAGATGGTTATATATTACCTGCACAGTGGTCCTAACTTAACTGACACTGTTCCTGCACTCTTAACTGTAAATGTTATATATTTCTATCAATATGTGCATGTGAACTATATATATGTATATATAGCCCGGGCCCACCCCCTTATTTTTCAAAATAAAATCCTATATAACTCAAATCGCGCGCGATAACTTCACATTGAATACAAGAATGTAGTTATAGTGTGTTAAAAAGGGTATAGTATTAAGTTTATTCCTTAATATCTATTCAGGGCTCCCTATCTACAAGTATGAGAAGTTATATCATATATATGAAGTATATTAGTGTTATTCATATCACACTTCCTCTCATCCTCTTTTGTTCTTCTCATGCAATTAGATTTTGAATGGGAATTAACAAAAGATTTGTAAATTTTTATCTTTTGGCGAGGAGAAGAAGGGGAAAATAGCTGAAATGTGCAAGTAGGCACATGCAATTCCCAAAATATGACGTTGTTGTGGATTAGTCAAATTTTGCACATGCAATTCCCAAAATATGACGTTGTTGTGGATTAGACAAATTTATAACGTCTTTTTCATAAATTTGTCCAATTCACAACAACATCATATTTTGGGAATTACATGTATTTACTTACACATTTCAGTCTTTTTTTTTTTTGAGAAAAATGCTATATTGGGTGGGAGAGGGGGGGGGGGGTGGAGGTGATATTGCTTGATATGAGACTGGACACAACTTTAAGGGGGGTTTTTATACACTAACATGCATCACTCTCATGTAGGTTAAGATGGCAATTAATAGTACCCTTCTCTAGGGTGGGGTACTCTAATAGTCTAATGCCAACAACAAATTTCACATGTTACTTTCACTTTAATTCTTTTAAAATTTTAAATACTTCAGTTTTTGTTTCAATTCGTTTAAAATTTTACTAAGAGTGAATTAAACCATACATTTTTCCTTTCATTCAATTGGCAAAAAACACAATGGAACCATATATTTTCATGACAATATGTGCTCGTTTCCTATACTCTTATATTTCAAGAATAATAGTCAAAACTCTAATCTATAAAAGTCAAAAAGTAAGATTATCCATGAAATTGACTATCTGACAGGCAAATATAACGATGATAATGACAGTAGGGCCTTTTTTTTTTAAAGGAAAATATTACTTCTAACTTGATAAAGATTACTTTAAATTACTTGTCACATCAGAATAAAAGTAAGTAAAGATTAGAAGTCCATCTAGTAGAAAAAAATGAGAATTGCAGGGATAAATATGGTCAAATCTGGGTTGCAAGATTTTTGTGTCATGCGGGGAATTTAAGGTAAAAGATGTTTCAAATCTTGCATCCTATCCTTGGTCAGATATTTAATAATGTGTTGTTCTAACAAGCACATGCCAAAAGTGCAACAAGAAAAGCTGCATTCAAAAGCCCAGCAGATTCTTGACATAAACAATTTGGATTATACACATAATGTGACAAGATGCAGCTGAAACAAAGATAAAGATTCTAGCATTTTACATGCTTGAGAAACAAACAGTTATCATCTTCGATCAATCCCAAGTTACCGAAATCATGGAGTTGGCAAGACCTGACTCCTCGAAGGTTAAATTACTCTCGAAGTCCAAAGAACTTGTAGCCCCGGGGATTGCTTGTGTCAAGCGAAATGGCTTTGCATCAGTTTCCTCGAGATGAGAAGAGCAGAAGGACCATAGCAGCTGAAAATTGGAGTGGAAAGAAAGATTCAAATATTCAATTGAGCTACGATTGAATCTTAAGGAAGACCGAACAAACAAAATTTCAAACGATTCTTATACGCTCCATATGTTCGAGGTAAAAATCGTTTCTTGTCCTATATTTATCCTCAACAGTATAATGGCAAGGACGAGAAGAGGGACAGGAAGTTCTACCTGAATTGGATCACTGCGTAAGAAGTTTCTTTGAAGTCTACGTCCATCAGGAAGGCGAATCCCAACTCTGCAAACGAGGTTCTTATCACCCTTGGGTTCTTCAGGAAGAGGAGGATAAACAGGCTTTTTCACTACATTTGTTTCTTTCCCTAAAACATCGCTCTCACTGGATTCTTTTAAAGCGTCTACATTAGTATCCTTCATTCCTTCCATGGAAGCAGCCAATGCTTGTAGCAGTTCCTCGTCTTCTTCTTTAGCATCATCTGCAAACACCAGAGTCCAATACAACCAAAATCTGAAGCATTACAATAAAAATGGCCATTTACATGCATGATATTATGAATTAAAGTCTACAATGATTCAATAATTACAGAACATGTTTAATCAGTAACTCATCAAAAACAAGAGAATAAAGATAGCAATTTAGTTGAACTTCTGAATAATTGAACAAATCATAAAGCCTTGCATTCGATATGATTCTTTTTGTTTTCAAAGTAGAAATTATTGTCTGATTTAACACACATCTTGAAAAGTACAGCTAGTGTCTCCACCAAGCAGCATCTAGAAATGTAGGGCCATGACTCATTAGACATTTTATAAGCAATCCTTGGAAAGGAAATGAACAATTGACTGGAAAACAATACTAAAAACTTCATTGCTCCCATTTCATATTTTTCTCTTGAATCTAGGGGGTGTTTCATAATATCCATATATAATTAAAAGAGAAGTACCTTTATGTAGAGGAGGTGCTTGAGGACTTTCTCTAGGTCGTTTATGAGATAGACTCACATGATCTGATGGACTACCATCCATGAATGGTAACAGATCCTGCAGGATCATGACAATAGTTCATTGTATTATGAATAAATAGTATAAAAAATCTGCAAGTTCAGATTTTTCTTTTTTCACTTGTTTTAAATTCCTTAAAACATTTAGGCAATATTTGTGACTTCTAGGACAACAGAAACCATATCAATAAAATGTGCACCTCCAGCAAAGTTTCAGGCTGGACCATTCCACGCCATGATCGCATCTTCTGACCTGTTATAGGGTCAACCACCAGAACCACAGGAATTGAATCTAACTTGTAATAGGTGCGAACCTTGCTGCCCTCTTCTGTATCATCATACACCTGTATTGAAGAAGAATCAGCAATCTTCACTCAGAGTCCATGGATCAAAACTCTTCAGAAATGCAGATAGTGAACTCTTAAATGATCCTCCAACTTCCACAAAAGGAAAAAATCCAAAGCCAGATGGAACTATGTTTAGAATCATTGATTCCATACAACACACCTTTCCAAGAGGTTGATTAGTCCTCCTTTCCCTTTTAGCATCTAATTGTTTTATTTCCTATACTGAAGCAAGGATTATGATATTTTACATTTTACAATGGCCACACCCATATCAAAACATGGTTTCCAGTCACATATTCAATATGACATGCCACAGTATTGGTAAATATTAACTTTGCAAAACATAAATACATATTTTTAGACACGTATATCAAGCAATGGAAAGAACCTTAGGTAGATCATATCCTAAAAAGTTGGTTCTTGCATAAAACAAGTACTTGTTACATTTCAAAGAAAGAAATGGCATGCTATCCTCCCCTAGAAGGTCTTGAATTCATTAAACCAGACAAATTCAAGGCATCGGGCCATAGTAAAGAAATTTCTAGAAAGTTTATGAAGACTTGCTTTAGAGTTTAGTTACTAAAGTCAGAAAGTTTTCAGGATCAGTGGCATGATTTCCAGTATAACTTACAAGACAGATCATGATTCATTACTGAATAGTCACCAAGGTCCACTACACATTATTATTTAACTTAAAAGCCAGAACCAAAAAACATCACCATAAATGAGCTTATACATCTTAACATCTTTTAGATATTTAATACACCATTTGTATTTGCCAATTATCCTTTTCAATCTATCAAAAATAATAAAAATGAAAATAAACTATAAAACAACAGCATACTAGATTGTAAAGACTCAACAGACTTTTAAAATTGAATTACCAGACCTGTCACTCAGTGTTGCTCTACTGAATTTGGTTAGTAGTTTAGTGCCTTTAAATAAAATTCCAAGACTCATTCACCAAGTGACATGACAGTCGTCCATGATACATACAATCCATTCAATTAATTTCAGTTCCAGTTCCTTTTTAGTAGGCCATGCCAAACCATAAAACGTTTTGGCACATCTAAAAAGGTCACTTTTTAAAAAAACTTACTACTATGACCAGGTACTATTAAATATAAATTAGGATATTTAAAGGGATCACATTTAAGTACATGGTATTTTGTTAAGGATATTAATCAACTTGCTATTTTTTTGAAGCAAAAGTTTAATCTTCTGAAAACATCATTTTAAATCGTTAACATTATTTACTGCCTAAGAATCAATCCCAAAAAAAAAAAAAAAAAAAAAAAAACCGAACCTGCCAAAAGATGAAGTTGGTTTTGATTGTCTGAGAAACAGCTTCATTAGCCCATGTGTCACGATTAAGCTTCAAATGCAATGTAAAAATATAAATCAGCAAGGCATGAAAAGAAGCAGAATCTTTTAGAGAAAGCATGCATATATATGCAACCACAATCTCTGCATTAGTACTTTAGTAGGGTAGGGAGTGGGGATAAGGCCACCAATGACCATGTTTTGTGCACCATACAATAACTTTTCATCATGATTGTGGGTAATGTTAATACTACAACACTTATTGCTTTTGAAGGAAATCTTCACCCATAACAGTTCATTGTTTTGGGGGTAGATATTCATCAACAGCTGTAGAAAATGTTAATCACAAAACTAGAAGGTACTCCACACTTGGTGCACTGGGTCAATATTATAACAACTAGGTAGTAAGTAGGTACTGAGGATACATGATGTTTCTAGGGTACGTTGGGAAGAAGAAAACACTAACCATATGTGAACTAAACTCCCTTGTAGACTGAAGGTTTACAAGAAGCCACTTGTTCTGAACTCTAGCAGCATCTTTTGCCTGCAACTCAAAATTTTTTGTGGAAGTCTAAATTATCAAACTCAAATATAGAATAAAACAAAGTAAAAGCAACAAACCAGAGTTCAAATCAAATATAAACTATCCTATCCCTGATTTAAGGTGATGCATCACACTCCCTGAAGTTTGGCCAATGAGATAGAACGGTAGGTAACAGTCTCAAGATGAAATTTATTTGAGGATATTTTGCTACTTAAGTAGTATCATGTACAATACTCCCTTGGTCGGTTGGTCCCATAATTCTTCACTCCTTGGCTTTTGTCATGAAGTTTTAGATCAAATCAGCTTTTTATGTGTAGTCATGTATATAGCTGAAATACTTAAAGTGGTTATATAAGTGGTATGTCAGAATAGGAAACTGTATATACTAAAATAGTAACTTTTAATAGGAGAAAAATTAATGGGCATCCAAAATTAGAAAAACAATAGTGGGAAAGAGGGAGAAAGAAATGTTTATTAGAGAAGTTCATTGTTCTAAGCTTATGATCAAGTCAAATAAAACACTCAAGTTTATGTAGTTAGATTGAAAAGAGCACTCAACTTTTATTCACCTAATAACACATTGTAACTTTATAGAACAATAGGAGTAAAATAATTCAATTACCATGATGAAAATACTCTTCCTAACAAATAAGAGAAAGAATTTGAACCTCCAAAAATGTTTTACTGTAAGACATATCTAATGTCTCATATTTATAGTCACAGTTATTACATGAACTTCTCACCTATATGTATATCTAGTGTCAAATATTTACTAAAGTTATGCTAATAGAATAATTAATAAAGACTTTTTCCAGAATTACTGCTGGCACTTTAAGAAAAAAAAAAAAAAGGGAGTGTGTGGTGTGTGTGTGTGTGTGTGGGGGGGGTGGTGGTTATGAAATGCAAAATCCATGGTACATGAAAGCCACCTTTACCTTTTCAAAAGATCCATGGTACATCAAAGCAAAAGGTGGGCGATACAAAGAAGCAAGATTGTCTGCAGAATTAGATGCTTTGTCTGTTTCCCACACTCCAGGGTGTTTCATTTCCTGCTCAAAATTGCGGAAGGGAACCACTGAACGTGCTTCATGTGCTGAACCTCCCATTGCGGGTAGTCTAAAGGCAATGATGAAAGTAATCAAAAAATGGAATAAAAGCAATATCAAATAATTGCCAACTCCCATCAGCAAATATTCACAGATAAAGAGTGAAATTTCCTTTAAGAACAATGTCTACCACAATAAAATAAAAACAAAAATATGCCAGAACTCCCAATACAAAGTAGCTGTACAACATGTCATTACATTTACACAAAGAAGATGTTACAACTTTGCATCATGTTCCAAATCTTAATAAAGTAGCATTCAGTTCACAGCCGGAAAAAGGTGAACTCACAAATGATCAATGACTAGATAACTTAACTTTTAAAATCTAAAACTGGCATAGTGTTATCCATATTTAGAGATGGCAATTTACCTTTTCTGTATTTGTTTCTTTTTTCTTTTTTTTTTTAGGCAGTATCCAGCAACCCATTTTGGAGACTTAAGGAAGAATAATGGAATATGACTCAAGTGGTTAAGCCCCATTGACAGATGGTTGAAGTCAACTTAATTGGTTTCCTTTGAGTTAAGGCTAGAGGATCTTTAAGTTTAAAATTGATAAAGAGGGTAGCTTCTAGCACAAATGAAAAGCTGAGATGAGGAAACAACCTAAGATGTGCAATTTGCTCACCTACTTCACATCTTAGTAAATAAAAAAATACACTGCGTAGATATGTCTACCATTTTCCTTTTACTTCAAGGAGATAGATCAAGATGTTCCTTCCACTGATACTGATAACTTTTTCAATCAACTCAAAGAGACCTTTGTCCACTCTATGTTATGTTTTGCTATGTACCAACAAGGAAAAGGCTAGGAGCTGAAAGGGCAGAAAGAGTAGCCCACTGAATTGCATACATGAGTAGTTTCTTGATTTGTATAGACCAATGCAACTCATTAGGACATTTGGTACAGAGTAAAAATCAGTATAACATTACATTTTAGTTTGTGAAGTGCAAGATGCACACACCTAGGCACAGTGAGAAGTAGCTACCATGTCTTAACAAGGCTTAGGCATTTAAGGTTAAGGTGTGTGGTGCAAATGTCAAGGTACTTGTAATTATGAAGTGGTGGAACTCTTCCACTAACTTCATTGATATAATGCTGCTTTTAAGGAGTGTGCCATCTAGTCTCCTCTCTCCAACATGAGGACTAGCCAGGATATTTGCAAAAATTTCATATAAGGGTTCAAATTTGCATTCCCTTCCTAATGTACTAACATCAATGATCAATGCAAAGAATAGTAATATCATTATCATTGTTCTTTCTGTTGATTCTGTTAACAAGCGAGCCAAGTTTTGATGCTTTTTAAAAAGATTACCAAAGAATTTCAGAAGTCTTTCCTTTAGAGAATGAATAGAACTGTGTTAGAGTACTAGAACATGATCATTTGTCCTATTGTGTTGGAGTTCTATTAAGAATAAGAATATGAATATCATTCAATGTCATGTAATTTTTGTATAAAGGGTCTTCATGAGTCATTCTAAAAAACCATATATTACAGTAATGGTAATTAATGAGGAAGGGGGGAAAGAAGATAGAAAAAACAAGGCAAGCAAACAAAATTATATGCATAAAAAAGGAATACTTAAATCAACTCCCAGCATCATAAAGAATGAGAATCTTATATTCATAAACACTAAAAAGCAAAGACATACCCACGAATCACTGCAGTGTCATAAAGAACATCCCTTATTACAGGCAAAGGTGGCCGTACTTCATCTCTATCACCTTGCTTTTCACTTTCATCTCCCGAGCCTTTTATAGATCCACTGATCGAACTTAACAAAAAATAAAATCATGAATATATAAAAGAAAATAATTGTCATTTATCAGGAGCATTTTTTATAGGGCTTTCTTGCATACCTCAAGCTGGGATCAGGCAGAGGTGCAGTGTTCTCCAGTGGGGAATATGAAGATGGTGCTGCCACCCCTCCATCATTTCCAACATAAAAAAGCTGAAGTGCTTCCTCAAGCTTCCAACTTGTAGCCTGCATCAATGAGTTTCAATGTATCATTGACAAATGCAAAGAAGGTTAGCTATATAGAATTACCCAAAATATCAGCGCAAATATTGCTTCTATTATAAAGCAGACAATCACAAAGGCATGTTTGGCTCGCATAAGAAACTATAGATAAATTCCCAAAGCCCTAACCTAATGCTTAAAGGTCTAAGCTTTGAATTAGAAGTTCAATATAATAAACAATTAAACTGAAATTCACTTCTTTACTTCACAAAGCAATCATACAAAGCCAAACACAAAGTCGTGGATTTCCCAGATTTTAAAACTAAAAATAAAAAAAAAAAAAAAATTAACTTTTGCGTGCAAATATCAGTTCGATAAATAAAAAACGGCAGTTCGATTATCTACAGCATTCGCATAGAGCGTGTATTGAAGAAAAGAAAGAGTGAATTAGACCTGAAGGAACTGACGCGCGGTATCGGCAGACTGGCCAACTGCGATCTCGAGGAAGGAAGCGACCAAGGTCTGCTGTTCGGACGCCGACAACGCGCCGTCCATTCTCGGGAGGCTGTGAAATTCAGTCGAGTAAGAATTAAAATTTAAAAAATAAAAAATAAAAAAAATTGCAGAAAACCCTAGATCAAAAGGATGAAGAAAGACGAAGAAGTAGAGAAAAACCTGAAAGCCGAGGTTTATAGTAGTGGGTACTACTCCTAAGTCCTAACTGGGTCGGATCAGAGTGTTTCTTCTTCTACTCTTCTTCACCGTCTTCTTCCTGCTCGTAAACTCTTTCTGATAAGGCATTTGTGTTTTTATTTTAGTGCCGAAAATTATATCGTAACAGGCACTTATATTTTTGGAAATTCTATAAATGTCCCTATCACTGCCTCATTACTATTTACTCCCTACTTTAATTCTCCTTCCGTTTACCCAATATACATATAGAGAGTAGGGTTAAATATGTCATTACACTTGTTCAAAATATATAATTAAGTCCCTATATTTTTTTAAAAATCACAAATAAAACTTTGAACTTAGGAAAAAAAGTATAATTCAACTCATTTTACCTCATATTGCATGTATCCGGTAATTGTAGAGTTGGATACCACTTCATACTTTTTTACTAATTTGGATGTCAAGTTATTATAATTATAATTATTTTAAAATAAAATATGTGCCCATCCAGGTTATTTATTTGATTTTTGTCCCTTTTTGTGTGTTAATAGATGTATACATTTTACTTTAAAAGCTGTATATTTTATTTTATTTTACAAAATTATTCTTATTGCATTTGATAATGAAAATAATAATAATAATAATAATAATAAATTAATAATAATAATAATAACAACAACAACAACAACAACAATAATAATAATAACAACAATAACAATAACAACAACAATAATAATAATAATGAAAAAGCGTCAAATAAGCCCATAAACACCAAGGACCTTGTGGTCCAATAGTACCAAGTTGCTTCCTTATGTGGGAGGTTGATGGGTTCAAGTCTCGTTGCAAGTTAATAAGGCCCTTGAAGCCCAATAACATGTATGTTGCAAATTATGCCGTGCAACCGTGTGCACCAAGCATGGTTGCAAAACGACATTGTTTTACTATGATGGAGTAACGATGCCACTAATGGCACCGTTTAACTCCACCAATCAAATATTATTATTATTATTATTATTATTATTATTATTATTATTATTATTATTTTACAAAAACTCCAATCAACCTATAATTATGAATATATAGTTATGAAGTTATGGATATATAGTTATGAAGTTATGGATGTGTATGTAGTTATGCAATTATGGATGTAGTTCTCTGTGAACAAGCACTTTTAAGAATTCTGAATATGGAGTTATGTAATTATGAATGTCTAGTTGTGAAATTATGAATATATGGATATGAAATTATGAATGTGTAGTTATTATTTCTGAATGTATTGTTGTCAAATTATGAATATATAGTTATGTAATTCTGGATATATAGTTATGAAATTATGGATATATCCTACTGTTTGAATACGAAAGGAAACCGTCTAACGCCGTTAACGACAATCCGAACGGGATTATTTTTTAAAAAATTGAAACGACGTCGTTTTGCAACCGTGTGCACCATGCATGGTGCACATGGTTACACAGCATAACGATTTCATGTATGTGACGTAATTGCAGATCAAGTAGGGTTTCGGCCAACTTCGACAACTCTCCGACGAGCCTCCGACTAATTTACAGCAAGCGATGACAAACACCAGCAACCGTTGGCTACGTTTGGAGAATGTCGCATTTTCTAGTCTCATCTTCGAAGAAGGCTACCAACTGTAGCCTTCTCCAAACGCGACCGATAACCGTTTGATTGTCGTTGGTATCGCGACCGATAACCATTTGACTGTCGTTGGTGTTTGTCATTGCTCGTCGAAAATTAGTTGGAAGCTCGTCGGTATCCTAGTTGACATGCAATTACAGGTCACCAACAGGTTATTGAGTTTCAATGCTTCAAAATAACATGTTTGTGAGTATAATTGCAACTTTCGAAAGTTTAAAGACTTAATTAACTTTTTGAGTACAGTTTATTGCCCTATTTAACATTTTCCCGAATAATAATAAACCTATTATTATTATTATTAAAATGTTAGAAAATATAGTATACTAATCACTTAAAGACTAATAATAAGTGAATGAATATTCTATTACTCCTTACTAAAGTTTAGACATAAAAGAAAAAAAAAATGAATGAGAGTAAATTTAAAAATATCTTATCATTGCATAAGAATAAATCAAAATAATATATAGCTTATTAATGCATATATAGATATATAGAATTACGATTGAGCCTGACTCTTTACAAGATAGTATTTGTTCTATATTTTCTCAAATTGTCATGTAGCTCCGTCCCTGCCCACCCACAATCCAACTTGACCTCTTAACCTATATTAGTAAGTAAACATGGTAGGCCGATATATTATTTATTTTATTATGTTATTAAATATTAAGTTTATAAGTTAGTTTATATTAGACATATAGAGTTGCATATTATTACTTTTATAAGTGTATTGAGTTAAATTAGATATTTGATTTAATTGTTTAGGGAAATTATTATCAGTGGAACCCGTCACACATGATTTTTATAGTGTGATTTATCACTCCTATATGATTTACAAACTATTATACAAAAGTGAGATTTATTCAATGCACAATCTCAAATAGTGATTACATATATCACTTGTAACCCAAAACCAATAATGCATTTTAGGTGAGTTTAAACATAAAAAAAATTGTTTAATTGAGTTGGAAGAGAGAGATAAGGCGAGAAAGAAGGAGAAAAAATTGCAAAACGGTGAATTTTTTGTAGGACCTACAAAGGGAGGAAAAAAAATACTAGTGCACATTGTGTGCACAAGCAGACCAGCAGTGCCCAATGAGTGCGTTTAACACCACTTTTTGGTTGTTTTGTTTTCAATCCCCCAACCCCATGCACATGCGGACCAACAGCACCCAACGAGCGCGTTTAACTTATTTATTTATTAATAACTTGACAAAGTTTTAATACTATTGAGGATGTTTTAAGTTGCAACGGGTCGGTGACCCACCAATTTTTTAAAAATTTTTAGTCAATTAGTTTAAAGCATTAGTACGTACTATGTGTACTATAAAATATTTTATACTGTTCATTTGTTACTTAAAAAAAATTATATTGTTCATTTGTTTTGTCAAAGTGGGGCTAAAATTTTATCTGACACCATTAAGCTTCGCATTGTCATTTGGCAAGGTGGGTCCCGTTTCTCTCATTAAAAAAGTTAAATATTACTCCATATATTAATGAGTACTACTGACTCAAGTTACAATGTAGTATTTATTTATATATATTTTCTTTACATATTAAAGGTAACAAAAGTTAATACATTCACTAAGATTTGAACCGGTAATCTTCAATTAAGGAGAATTATACATTTATACAATTCCAACTCATTCTCAAACCATAATAATTTTTAAATCTATTATTAAAAAGGAAAAAAAAAGTACAAAAGTCAAAGAGAGACAACAAAAGCTAAGTTGCATACTTTCATAGTAGTTGAAGTTGCAATTTTTTCAACTAATGTTAAAAAAAAAAAAAAAAAAAAAATCTAGCGTGGCAATTGCCATCATTTCCCTTTGAGTTCTACTACATGTACTTCCAAATTATACTCCCATACTTGTACTCCATAACATGGCAAACAAAGATGGGTTATTTTCATCATGTGGGTCTCAAGGAATATGTCTACATCAAGAATTTGTGAGAGGGAATAAAAGTTGAAAGTAAGAAATGGAAGTACATGTAGTATTTTCCTTTCCGTTTTAGGAATGAGGATGGTTTTAGTCGTGTGTGGTGTACATGTATGTAATCAGAGGGACAAGTAGAAAGCCATATAGTAAAGAAAAGTAGAGTCAATGTAATATTACTTTTATGTAAAAATAGATGACAGTAATGAAGATAGTTACGATTGGTATGTTATTATGTACTCCATATATAAGTAACAAAAAAAAATACAAGTGAAAACTTGCACAATTGGGGCAAGTAGGTAAAAATAATGGTTATCAGGACTATGTGGTCTAATGGTACTCGGGTTGGACTTCCATTTGGAAGGTTGTAAGTTCGAGTCTCAGTAGAGGTGTTATTAGCTCTTTGTGTTTTAGTAGGTCGAGAAAGTATATGAACAGATACTACAATGTAATAGGAGGTAGTAGCTTTCAAAAAAAGGTAAAAATAATGGTTGATAGAAGTTCGTTGGTAACTGAGATACAGAGTATATGTTTAGTATTCAAAATTTTTGAAAAATAATAAAAATTACTCCGTATTTTCTAATTTTTTTTTATTAAAGTTGAAAAATATTTTTAGTAATTATACAAATATACAAGTTGAATTGATGAGTAATTTACTTCTTGTTCAAAAGGTTAATACGGGAGGTGTGTTGAAAAGTAGCCACAAATTCATCTTATTTGACAATTTGAGACTATACAAAGAGCGGTGTGTTCACCCAAACATATTCATAAAGAAGCTAATACATGTATAGATTAGATGACACATCTTCATGGATCTCTTACCAACTTAATCAGTTAGATAAAATCCAGTTGTTGGCTTGTCGCTCTTTGTGTATGGAGTTAGGGCTGTTTGCTATCATTTTACATGATTTCATGTAGTGATTTTTTTATTTTTTATTTTTCAATTCCGATGTGTGTGTGTATATAAAGAAAATGGAAGACAAAATTTTATATTCAAAATTAATTCTTTTTTAAATTAAAAAAAATGAAAAGTAACATTATTTACCAATTTAACCAAAAAAATAAAACTAATACAAAAACATATATAACTTTATTTACAATTATCACCAAACTTAATGCAGAAAAAAAAACACCTTTAATTTGATATCCAATTATGTTAGATGAAAAAGCGTTCAATATCAAACCTTTGTAACATATTATCCAATTTAATACCCACATATTATGTGTATCCTATTCTAATTTTCTTGAATATAAGAAAACTGTCCCAAAAACATTTTCAATGTAAAATTATTTTCAAAACGCAAAAACATTACTTTCAAAAATAATAATACTTTACTGCTCAATAAATTTTCACTGTTCTCATTTTTTTTTTTTCCTTTCCTAAAACAATTGTGCTTTACTTGCAAACACTGTAAATATCTGTTTTCCCCCTCAGTGGTAACAACAAACAGATTGTGTCAAATGTTTCATTAGTATAAGAAGATTAAACATACAAAAGATTCAAACTTATCTTGAGAATGTTTCAGCTTATACACCAGTAAATGTCAATTGTC